AATTATGTTTCGTACCTCCAAATATGTATTACTATTGGTTAGCCGGGTTTCCCTGCCTTCTTCCCCCCTTTTCCCTTAAAACCCTCTCCCGCCCCCTGTTCGGGGCCATTTGCTGGGAGGTTCCCCTCCTTGTTGGTCCTTCTGTAATAAACCGACAGTTTACCCCCAGCAAGTGGTCGCCTCCTAATTTGTCTCACACCGCGCTGCTCCGAGCTATCACCCAGCTCAGCCCGAGGCCAAGACGCCGAGGGGGGTGGGCTTCAGATGTGCAGGGGCACCGGCCTTCGCCCCTCACCAGCTAGCCGGATTCCAGGGCCGTGTACGCCCACGCGCAGTTCCTGAAGCCTTTTGCGCAATGGGGGACAGCAGAAGGGCCTCTCACCTTTGTGACTCCACTGATGCCTGATGAGACAGGAACTCATGTGACACCTCTTCCTGCATTTATCACACTCCTAGGGACGTTCCTCTGTGTGGATTCTCATGTGGCGGATCAGGAAGGATCTCAGGGAGAAGCTCTTCCCACATTGTGAGCACTTGTGAGACTTCTCTCTCTCCCCATCCTGGAGCTGCTCATGGACCCCCAGCTCTGAGCTGTAGCTCCCTCCCTGGCCCAGGGTGGGTCTTTCCTCCTCAGATCCCTGTGATCTGCATTTGGAGCCCCTCCTCGTGAGAGATCTATGGGGCTTTTCTTTCCCTTTTGATGCATGTGCTGTGGAGCTGCACAAAACAACTTCCACAAGGTTCTCCTGTGGGGATTTGTCCTCCCTGGTCTCCATCCTCAGCTCCTGGTCTGGGGGAGGAAGGACAAGGAGAGGATGGGATTTGCCTCTGTGCCACAGGGAAGGACAAGGAGATCCCCTCAGTGTGTCCCTTGCAGGACAGCTTTGGCAGCAGGGTTGTCCTGCAGCCGGGGACCGTGCTGGGCTGGGAGATGGAGCAGGAGAGAGGGGGAAAGGGGCACTGACTTCNCCCGTCCCGCGCGGCACTGGGAGAGATCCTGGGAGCAGCGGGAGAGATTCTGAGAGCAGCAGGAAGGAATTGGGAGCTCTTTCCCTGCCAGTCCAGCTCTTACTGGGAGCACTGGGAGGGAACTGGGAGCAAACAGAGCCCGGAGGCGGCTGCAGACGGCTGCATAACCACTCCCTGCGGTGGGCGGGGCCAAACCGCAGGGAGTGGTTATGCAAATACGGGAGCGGTCGCGCGCTGGGATTGGTGGGCGGGAGCAGCGCGGGGTTTGCTCGGTTATGTGAGGGCCGGAGGGGCCGGAGCGATGGCGGCGGCGTCCGGTGAGAGGGGACAGGGAGCGGGAATGGGGACAGGGAGCGAGAATGGGGATAAGGAGCGGCCATGGGACCGGGGAATGAGAATGAGAATGGGGACAGGGAGCGGGGATGGGGTCAGGGAATGGAGATAGGGACCGGGAATGGGGACAGGGACTGTGAATGAGACCTGGGATGGGAATATGGGAACGGGACAGGGAACATGGAAAGAGCAACCACAGAGAGAATATGGGCTGGGGGTTGGTGCTCCAAAGTGTCCCAGTGAAAGCCAGCAGGGGCTGTGAGCTCTGCAGCTGGGCCTCCCCTGCGCTGCTGCGGCCCAGGGCCCAAAGGCGGGGGCTGCAGCCTCGCTCCTGTCTCAACAACAGGAGCCTCCTCCAGGCCCATGGCCCCTGCATGGCCCCAGCGTGAGGGAGGGCTCTGAGGCGCAGCGGCTGCTGGCAGGAGGGGCTGCTCCAGCCAGCTGGGGCCCTCTGAGAAATGCCCAAAGCCTTGTGCTCTCTGCAGCTGGCCAAGTGTTGGGAATTTAGCTGCTAAGGACTGGAAAAGTACAAAACTGCGGCTAATTCCAAGTCCTGAACCTGCACAGATAACAGTGTCCTTGAGCCTAGCTGTAGTATAATAACAAACAGTGAAAGAGACATGAGAAAAGAGAGTGTAACCCTTAAAAAATGAAGATGAGTTAATGCTATAGTTTAACCAACAGATTGCTTAGCTTACAGAATATTCATAAGCTTATTATTTGCTGTGTAAGTGTTTGATACTTTCTTCAATAAACTAGACCAGAAAGACCTGAAAGACCAAGACCGAGACCAGACCGGACCTGAAAGGCCTGTGATGAACCAACTGGTGTCCTGGTCCCCTTCCTTCGACAGCCAAGGACAGCAGCGGGGCTGAACGGTTCGTGTGGCACAGCCAGCCCGAGCTCTGCAGCCCTCAGAGCCCCATGGGAGAGGCGGCCCTCGGGAATGGGACCGGGAGTGCAGGACTGGGACCAATACTGGGATGGGGCATGGATACAGGCACAGGAAATACGGGACTGGGGACAAGGACATGAATGGGGACAGGGACCAGGAATATGGGAGAAGGTCCTGGAATGGGACCAGGAATGGGAATATGGGAACAGGACAGGGAATACAGGAATGGAAATCTCAGAGGAGCATTGGGACCAGGAATAGGAACAGGACAGGGAATGTGGGACAGAAACAGGAATTGAGACCAGGAATGGGATTCACACTGGGATGGGAGCACAATGTGTCCCAGAGCAGGGTGACATGGGAACGGGAGGGAGAGAGGGATCCTGCGCAGGGGACACCGGGAACTGAGATGGGGGGACATGGGGACAGTCCTGGGCCAAGGGCTCCTTGATCAGCTG